AGGAAGCAGGGTCGTCTCACATGGCAGGAGCAGGGGGCAGAGTGCAAGGGGGCAGGTGCTACACACTTTTTTTTTTTTTTTTGGAGACTGAGTCTCTCTCTGTCGCCCAGGCTGGAGAGCAGTGGTGCGATCTCGGCTCACTGCAACCTCCGTCTCCTGGGTTCAAGTGATTCTCCTGCCTCAGCCTCCCAAGTAGCTGGGATTACAGGCATGTGCCACCATGGCTGGCTAATTTTTTGTATTTTTAGTAGAGATGGGGTTTCACCATGTTAGCCAGGATGGTTTCCATCTCCTTACCTCATGATCTGTCCGCCTTGGCCTCCCAAAGTGCTGGGATTACAGCACATTTTTAAACAAGCAGATCTCGTGGGAACTCACTCAGTATCATGAGAACAGCAAGGGGGAAATCCGCCCCTGGGATCCAGTCACCTCCCATCAGGCCCTTCCTCCTCCCACACTGGAGATTACAACTGGACGTGAGATTTAGGTGGTGATATGGTTTGGTTCTGTCCTCCCACCCAAATCTCATCTTGAATGGTATTCCCATAATTCCCACATGTTGTGGGAGGGAACTGGTGGGAGATAATTGAATCATGGGGGTGGTTCCCCCCATATTATTCTCATGGTAGTGAATAAGTCTCATGAGATCTGATGGTTTTATCAGGAGTTTCTGCTTTTGCATCTTCCTCATTCTCTCTTTGCCTGCTGCCATCCATGTAAGACAGGACTTGCTCCTCCTTGCCTTCCACCATGATTGGGAGGCTTCCCCAGCCACGTGGAACTGTAAGTCCAGTTGAACCTCTTGCTTTTGTAAATTGCTCATCCTCAGGTATGTCTTTATCAGCAGCGTGAAAACGGACTAACACAGGTGGGAACACAAATTCAAACCATATCAGCCACTACATAAAAACCGCTTTTCCCAATATCTAAACTAAGAAAGTAAAACTTGAAGCATTACAACGAGGAGCATCCTACCACCCCACACGCCTCAGCCCTTTGAGTCTGTGAGTCTGTTTCATTAAAGAGGAATGGTAAAGAGTGTGACGTGGGGGGGTCACACAGACCTGGGTTCAAATCCCACGTTTGCCACTTGCTGGCACTGGGACCCTGGGCAGGCAGCCTGAGTCCCCATCTCTGCAGATGCCTGGTACATATAACTCTCAACACATGTCAGCTATTGTTACCCCTCGGGAAGAAGGCAGCAGTGACAGGTCACACTATGCTGAGTGATACAACTCAGGTGGGATGCTTCAGGATCTGGAACGTGGGTTCCTGGGAACTAAGACTCTCACTTTGACAGATCAGGCCAAGAGATGGGCCTGTGTGGCCAAAGTTCATTTAGGGATAAAAAAAAAAAAGTCTACCCTTGAAAGTCTAAAAATGTGTACAACCACAGGAGGCTATTATGCAATTTCACTTTTAATTTTTAAAAAGATACCTGGAAGCAGTGGCTCATGCCTATAATCCCAGCACTTTGGGAGGCCGAAGTGGGCAGATTGCCTTAGCTCAGGAGTTCAAGACCAGCCTGGGAAACATGGTGAAACCCTGTCTCTACTAAAAAGAAAAAAAAAAAAAGCCTGGTGTGGTGGGGCGTGCCTGTAATCTCAGCTACTCAGGAGGCTGAGGCATGAAAATCACTTGGACCCAGGAGGCGGAGGTCACAGTGAGCCGAGATTGTGCCATTGCACTCCACCCTGGGTAACAGAGCCAGACTCTGTCTCAAAAAAAAGAAAAGAAAAAAAGGAAGACAAGAGCTTCTAAAGGAATAAAGATGGAGACTTGACCTCTACGTAATAACATTTTATGCTTGCAGAGAACTTTGTTTTCTGAAAGAACTTCCACAACTGTTATTAAGCAAGGAAATTCTTCATTAGGAAGTTTTTAAAATGTAAGATTTTTTTTAAAAAAAAAGAGTTTGATTCTTGTTGCCCGGGCTGGAGAGCAACGGCACAGTCTTGGCTCACCGCAACCTCTGCCTCCCAAGTTCAAGCAATTCTCCTGCCTCAGCCTCCCGAGTATCTGGGATTACAGGCATGTGCCACCATGTCCCATGCCCTGCTAATTTTGTATTTTTAGTAGAGACGGGTTTCTCCATGTTGGTCAGGCTGGTCTCGAACTCCCAACCTCAGGTGATCCACCTGCCTCAGCTTCCCAAAGTGCTGGGATTACAGGCGTGAGCCACTGCACCTGGCCAAGATGTTCTTATACAACTGGTTGGTTGTATATTACTACCATCTGCTACTATGAGTAAGAGTATCAGTACTAGCAGCAGTGATAGTAGTAGTGAGAATAATCGTCTAATAATAGTCATAATCATGGTCCTAAGGGCTTTATGTACAAAATCTCACTGAATCCTCCCCACAGGTGAGTGAAAAACACTAGCTAGCGTCACTCTCATGTTACTGCTGAGAAACCTGAGGTTTGGAGAGGTTCCACACCATTTCTGCTGTGTTGAATCTTCCTGACAACTCTAAGGTGTGTCAGTCACCTATACAGAGGAGGAACCTGAACCCACAGAGGTGTCAGTAGATTTAGCCAAGGTTACTGGGTGTGGTCTGGAGGCAGACCTGCTGGGTGCAGGGCTTCTGGCTTTCCCATTGCTGAGCAGAGTCAGCCACTGGAGTTGGGTCCAAGAGTGTGCCTGGGAGGAAGGAAGAGAGGAGCTCACCTCCTCTGCCTCCTCTTCCACTTAGACCTGTGTGAGGTGTCACCAGGGGGAGCCAAAGGGCCCCAGGTCAGCCACTCTGGGCCCCTGAGAACTGCCATCCTGCTGGCTGGACCAGCATCCCCCCAAGCAGTAGAGGTGGTGGTGGACAGGATGGAGCAGGCAGTTGGATTCACTCCGAAGGTCCCATCAAATAGACAAATATTTGGCTTAAATTCTCCTCTGGCTTCTTGCTCCTTTTCCCCAGAGTGATGAGAATTACCGGTTAAATGACGTCCGTCTTGTTTCTTTGTTCATTTGTTCATTCATTCATTCAACAATAATTTCTTCGGTCCCAACTAGGAGCTGTGGCCTCAGATATATTTCATTTGTAAGCCCTGCCCTTGAGAGCCCCGTCTAGGAGGAGAGAGATGTAAAACCCAGGGCGAGCCAGGCTCTGATGAGGCAACTGCAAGGGACCGTGGGAGCCCAAAGGAGGCTGCACGCCCAGCTGGGGGCAGGGGGCAGGGTGTGGGCAGAAGAGGAGGTGGGGGTGCCCTGAAGAAGTGAAACCAAAGGTGGTCCTGGTAGGGTAAGGGATGTAAGCTCTGGGGTGTGAAAAATAGAACTTGTGTGAGGTTCCCTTTGCAGCAGTTTGGTGAGGCTGGGACTGCTGCAGAGGGGCAAGTGGTGCCTTCTTTGCCTTGTAGAGAACATGCAGGTCGTTTGGAGGTGACAGGAGCCGTAGTGTGCTCCCTGCCAAGGTCACTATGCAATTCAGCAGCCTTCGGCCTCCACTGTCCCAGCTCATGTGTGAGTGTGTGTGTGCTGGAGGGTGTGAGGGTGTGTGTGAGGCTGTCTGCATGTGTGATGGGGTGTGTGTGTGTGTGTGTGTGTGCATGTGTGTGTGTTGGGGGCAGGAAAGGGAGCTGGTGTGGAGGGTCTGAAACTGGTGCCGGCCGAGTGGACAAAAAAGAGAAAAGTGTTGTCTTTGAGTCGGGGTTGGAGAGCAGGAGAAGAAAAAAGGAGCTCTTATTGGTGGTTGTCAAGGAGATGGGCCTTGGGGTTTGCTGAACTTTCTTCCCTTAAAGCGTCCTGCCCGGAGCTGAGAGGGGCCATTTGTTTCCAGCCGCACCTCCCTCCCAGGCGGGGTGGGACCAGACCCGAGCCCGAACCTCGAACCTCGCCAGGCGTCAGGTGTAAACCCCAGGCCAGGCCAGAGCCCTTCCTGGGTCTTCCGACCGACCGCAATGCCCGCCCCGCCCCTCCTCCTGGCCCCGCTGGGTCTGTCACTGGGGAGGCCCCTGCCTCGCATTCCCGGCCGCGAACTTCGCAGGCGGAGGTCAGCCCCATGCGGGGCCTCGCCCGGGACCCGCCGCTTAGGGGCATTGTCCGCCCCGGGCGCCCCATTCCAGACGCGCGTCCGGCGGCCGCCTCCTGACGAGCGCACTGACCCGCCACTGTCCTTCGGCGAGTGCTAAAAAGTTGGTTTGTCCGCCTGTTCTCACTCATAGGCGGGTGTTGAACAATGAGAACACATGGACACAGGGAGGGGAGCATCACACACTGGGGTCTGTTGGGGGGAAATAGGGGAGGGACAGCGGGGGGTGGGGAGTTGGGGAGAGACAGCATGGGGAGAAATGCCAGATATAGGTGAAGGGGAGGAAGGCAGCAAATCACACTGCCACGTGTGTACCTATGCAACAATCGTGCATGTTCTTCACATGTGCCCCAAAACCTAAAATGCAATAAAAAATAAATAAATAAATAAATAAATTTAAAAAGATAAGTTGGTTTGTTCTGAAGGTGAATGTTTAAGCAATCTGCACGCGTTTCCCCGCCCGGTTCGCTGGCTGCTGTCTCGCCCGCGCTCGGCCCCCAGTAGGTGCTCAGAAAACGTCCAGTGAACCGCGGCGCGGACGAGTCTGCTCTGCGCGCGGGCGCGTTTCCCTGCAAACGGGTGGCGGGCGACCTCGCAGGACCCCCGGCTCGCAGGACCCCTGCCCCCGAGGGTGCGGCCGGGAGGGAATGGGCTACCCCAGTCGGGGGGCGTCCACCCTGGACGGCTAGGACCGGGGTGCCGGGGGCAGGGGAGGGCGCAGCCTCCGAGCAGCCCCAGCCTGGCCGAGACCCCGCGCCCGCAGCCCCACGAGCCGGCCGGCCGGGCTCCCACCCCCACCCCCCACCTGCCGACCGCCCCAGGGGAGGGGCCCCCCCAGGACGCCCGCACCCCCCCTCTCCCCCTCCACCGCGGGCCGTCGGCCGGCACCCATTGGCCGGCCCTGCGCGGCGCCCCGCCCCCCGGCGCCGCTGGCCAATGAGCACGCGCTGTCAGCTCGTCTGCCTGGCCGGCTGGGCGGCTCGGGAGCCCGAGCGGTGGCGGAGCGGCGAGCAGCGAGCAGCGCCTGCGGGAGCGGCCGGTCGGTCGGGTCCCCGCGCCCCGCACGCCCGCACGCCCGGCCGGGCCCGCATTGAGCATGGGCGCGGCGGCCGTGCGCTGGCACTTGTACGTGCTGCTGGCCCTGGGCACGCGCGGGCGCCTGGCGGGGGGCAGCGGGCTCCCAGGTAAGCCCCCGACCCGGGCTGGGGGGTGGCGGTGAGCGTGGGGGGCGCGGGTGGCCGAGGCGCCGTCCGGGAGGCTCCTTCCCCGCGCATCCCGAGCTCGCACCGCGCGGCCCCGCGCAGCCCCCCACCTCTTTCCAAAGTAACTTCTGGGGCCGGCCCGGGGCGCCCCCTCCCCGCAGCCTGGGCGGCCGGGGCTCCTTAGCCCAGCGGGGCGGGGGCCGGTGGGTGGGTCCGGGCCCCGGGAGGGGAAATACTAGCGGGGGAGCGAGGAAGAAAGGCGGCGGCTCCTGGGGGCCCGGCCTGAGGACCGGGGCGGGGTGGGACCCCGAGCGCAGAGGGGGCGCTCCTCCGGGGAGAGGGGGCGCGGGGCAGGGCGGGGCGGGCGGAGGGGACACGCCGGGAGGTGAACGGGAAAGGGAAGGACCGAGAGACAGGGACGGGGCAGGAGGTGCTGGGCAGACGGACAGAAGAACCGGCGCAGAGGGAGCAGAGACAAAAGGACGCAGGAGGAGGCCGGGGGAAAAGACCGACGCGGAAGGGTGGAGAGGAGGCCCGCGCGGCTGGAGAAGGAGGGGACCCGAGGGAGGGAGGAGGAGGCCCAGGGACCAGGAGGAATCAAGAGGGACGAGGGACGGTCCCACCGATAAGGGAGAAAGGAGGAGACGCGGGACAGATGGACGCCAGAGAAAGACGGAGTGGGGGGGGGCGGGCAGCGGAGGGAGACTGGGAAAGAGAGAGGGACGGAGATGCCTGGAAAGCCGTGGACTACGAACCGTCTGACAGGACGGGGAGGAGAGAAGAGGGAAGGAAAGCAGAGGAGACGGACAGACACGGAGAGAAGAGTCCGGACTCGGGGTGTCGGTGGAGCAGACCCAGGAGGGGGAGGGGAGGCCCGGAGGCCACAGGCCCAGCCCCGTGGCTTTCGCGGGGACCCCCTCGACGTCCCACCCGTCCCCTCCTCTCTTGCTGTCTGCAGGGGCTTGCCGAAAAGCTGGAGTGACATTCTCTCCTCTGCGTCATCAGAGGCGCTTCCTCCGGTGCTCTGCTCGGAGCGGGGGCAGGGGGAGGGTTGTGCACGTTCTTCCCGGCTCCCTGAAGTCTGGTTTGGGTGACTAGGGTCTGTTCCTGGGAGTCGCGCGTGCCCAGAGTGGGGATGCTGGGCCAGTGAGACCCCTCCATAGCAACACCTCTCCTGGAAGCCCAGCCCTGCTGCCCCATCCCCTTTGTGGGTGTCTCTCTCAAGCTTTGAGGTCCCTTACCTCTGAGTGACTGTTTCTGGGTGTCCCTGTCAACACCTGTGTCCCTTGTCTGTGTCTGCCTCTGTCTCCTCCCCCACCCTCTCAGTGGAAGCCCTGTGACTGTGTAACTCCAGCAGCCTGTCCCCAGCATAAGCAAACCAGAGTCAAAGGGAGCTCCCTTTGACTCCAGTGCTGGGAGGGCTGGGCCACCCTGCATGGAAGTCTCCAGCCCAGACAGGAGCCGGAGCTGGCAGAGGACCAGTGGGGACAAGTGGCTCCTCCTCCTGTCTCCTCAAACTCCCATGCCTTCTCCACACCGAGAACACCCACGTGTTTAAAGGTGCATTGGGAGCCAGCTTCACCCACCCTCATCCACATCCACCTATTTCCATCCCAGTGAAGATACCGGGCTAGGTGGGAGATTGGGGCTGGGGGCACGAGGGGCTCCCACCCCTCATTCCCATGCACTGGTCCTGGCGAAGTGGGAAGAGCCATATCTGTGGCCTGCTGTTCCTGCTGGTCCTGTCTCAGAAGTGACACCAGTCCTCCCAAACAGAAGCATAGAGATGGGCCCTCTCTGACCTCTGGTTCCCAGCCCTAGAGGCAGTGCCACCCCTGCACAGAAGTCCCTCTGTTGACACTTTCCCAGAAGGCGCTCATGGATGTTCCTGCTGGACCAGCCATCCAGTTGCCAGCTGGGTCCCCTCTAGTCCCTGCCTCCTGGTCCCCTTTCCACTCTTCCTCTGGGCAGTTGTCAGGGACAGGCTGCCCACCTGAGCAGATGCAGCCCCCCTGAAAAGTGATACCACTTGCCGTGTGTGGGCAGGGCGGTCATGCTGTTGTGTTTCTGTTTGATGCCTCTCTTCCTTCAGGGTTGGGAAGGAGACTTGGGGACTGGGGCAAAGAAGGAGGACCCCTAGGGGGCATGGATCTCATAAGCCCCACTGGCAGATTCAAACCCAGATATTATCCAGGGGAGAAATTTAGATACTCAGGGGACCCAACAATCTAAGGGAGACCAGAGGCATGAAGAGATGGGGACATTCTGAGCTCACCCCTGGAGGGGCTGCCCTCATGGCTGCTGCTGTTGCACTCCTGGGTCCTTCTGTCTGTCTGTCATCCATCTGCATTTCATGCATTGCTAGCTAGAAGTCACATGGCATATAGGAAAGCTTATTCTGTGTCTGAGTCCATTCTCTGCCCCAGTGAGCTACTGATCCATGACAGAACCCATCTGGGCCTCAGTTTCCTTATCTATAACCTGAGGAATTAACCTGGGCTATAGCTATGGCTCTGACTGTGCTGAACTGTGCGTGACAAGAGGAAGGTCCCCTCCCTGCCTGAACTCTGTGTGTGTGTGTGTGTGTGTGTGTGTGTGTGTGTGTGTGTGTGTGTGTGTGTGTGTGTGTGAGAGAGAGAGAGACAGAGAGAGAGGGAGGGAGGGAGGGAGAGAGGTTTGGGATGTATGGATGGAACAGATACACAGAATCTGTTTTGCGAGATTTTGCTCCAACAGCTATACCAGACTGAAGATGTTCGGGGTGGGAGGTGGAGAGTGTTGGGAGCCCTCAAAACCTAAACTGAACTTGCATTTAGAAGTTGGGATATGAGAACCAGATTCACCTGTGGATTTCCGAGGAAGGAGGGTGGTGGGAGGAGTCAAAACCATGGACGGGCTCAGGTTAGCCTAGTTGAGGGGTGTGCTTCTGCCACCGGACACTGGTGCGGGGCCATGGAAGGCAGATGATGAATCCCATATTTCCACAGCCTAGGTGCAGGGTGGGGTCCCAGGTTCAGGTGACCTGCAGGAGCCCCCTGGCATGGCCTCGGTGTCCCCATCTGAAACCCAAAGGGGCTGGATTTAAATTCCTCCGAGGACCCTTCTGGCTGTAAATTCTAGAGTGAGGAGCATGGAGGAGGGCTGTGGAGAGCAGGGCGCCTGGAGGAGGTTCTTCGTCACTGTCTCCTTAAGCCTCAGTTTTCTCATCTTTTTAGTGGAACACTAGCTCAACCAGATTGTTGCGACAATAAATAAGGCCAAGCATATTGGTAGCATTGTCTCTGCCACAGAGGAGCTGCGCCAATGATGCTACCAGTTGCCACTTGTTACATCAGATTGTTCTGTGTGACAGTTGTTATTGCCACTGAGCGCACTGATCAATGGACAGGCAGAGGCAAGAGCCTCCTTGCCCCACACCATCGGCCGCCTCCTCCGGGGCCACACCTTACTTCTTGTTTCCCCCACACCCCTACCCACAGGGTCAGTCGATGTGGACGAATGCTCAGAGGGCACGGACGACTGCCACATCGATGCCATCTGTCAGAACACGCCCAAGTCCTACAAATGCCTCTGCAAGCCAGGCTACAAGGGGGAAGGCAGGCAGTGTGAAGGTGAGTCCAACCCGGCCCTCCCAGCCAGACCCTGCATTGCCAGGGCTGCTGTAGGTGTCCGATGCCCACCCCATTCATCACCAGCCAGGGCGGAGCCTCCAGCACCACCATTGTGGTGGCTGACAGCACAGGCTTCTCTCGGCCTTGGGAGGGAGGCAGTGAACTTTTCGGGAATGCTGGCTGCTTCCCTGGAAGGGTGCAGTTGGAGTGATGGGGTGTCTGATTCTCAACTGGGCTTGAAACTTTTCATTTTTTTTTAAGAAATTGACTGGGTGCCATGGCTCATGCCTGTAATCTCAGCACTTTGGGAGGTCAAGGTGGGTGGATCACCTGAGGTCAAGAGTTTGAGACCAGCCTGGCCAACATGGCGAAACCCTGTCTCTACTAAAAATACAAAAAACGTCAGCCGGGTGTGGTGGTGAGTGCCTCGTGAATCTCAGCTACTCATGAAGCTGAGGCAGGAGAATCACTTGAACCTAAGAGGCAGAGGTTGCAGTGAGCAGAGATCGTGCCACTGCACTTCAGCCTGGGTGACAGAGCAATACTCTGTCTCAAAAAAAAGAAAGAAAGAAAAAAGAAATTAAAATGAAGCATTGACTGATGTATTTGTGCATGTGTCCTTGACTGGCTATATGGGGGTGGAGTGCAGAGACCTGGGTCTACCCCAACCCCCCAGGTTCCCAATGCCAAGTTCAAAACCACCCTATAGATCTCCTGTCTCAAGCTCCAGTCCTTGGACAGACACTGGTAGATTTGCACCATCTGTCTGTCTGTCCAGTCTTTCTACCCTGCACCTGGTGTGCTGGTTAGACCTCCTGACATTAGAAACTGCTTCCCTAGAAGGCTGAAAGTCAGAGAGAAAAGAAACGTCCCCTGGCTACGTTTGGCACGGGGACCCTCCAAGCTCATTGGAACCTTGGGAGCTTTTGCCCATGAGAGTCTGCATGGCCGTCCTCACACCATGGGTCTGGGGCAGGACTGGGCATCTGGGGGCTGGAGATAGCTCTCTCTGAGATGAACATACATCCCTGGATGGCGTCACTGACTCCAGTCTTCCGTGTCTGCACCCATTGTATAAATGATGAGAGCCGAGGCTCAGAGAGGAAAACCATCTTTTGCAAGGTCCTCACGTTCACGGTGACCCGTGACATGACCAGGACTGAGAGCCAGGTCTTGTGACTCCCACTCAATGACTCTGACATCTCGTTTTCTTCTCCCTGGGCCCTGCCAGCTGAATTTTTCCAAGTTTGATATTTGTATTAGGAAAGTGGCAAGTGAGCATAAGACGGGTCCCTGTTCTTTCTGTAAAAGGCGTCTACAGGGCTAGAGTTCTGTGGGAGAGCAGCCACGCCTCCCTGGGATGCTGGTGGTGTTTATCCATCATGTTTGTTGAGCATTTATTTAAGGCTGAGTGCTGGGCAAATAACATCGCCCTGGGTCATGCCTGTTTGGGTCATATTCCTGGCACTCTCAGGGCCCAGAACCCAAAGCGGGGAGCTGGCGCCTACCCACAGACCTCTGGAAGGAGGCCAGGCTGGAGGCACGCAGAGGAGGCCATGAGTAAGAAGCCTGGTGGGGTGGCTGGCCGGCCACTGGTAGGGCCAGACGCTAGCTTGCTGGTTCAAGTGGTACATACGAGGCTGTGTGACCACTTTCTGACCCGCTACTCTGCCTCCCAGACCAAGTGTTCTGGCAAGGCAGTGCCATGTTGACCCCCCATCTCTGCTGGTTTAAGCCACTGACCTGGCCTCTTCCTCCCGCAGCCCAGCTCCTCCTTAGGCCCTCTCCTGCTGTTCCCTATCTAGGAGGCCCCACCTTTTTCCCTAAAATTTTCCAGAGTTCAGCTTTAACTCCCCACTCTGCTTGATCCCTGAGTTAGGAGTCAGACTCTTGTCCCGAGCCCAGCTCTGCGGCTCACTGGCTCTGCAGGCTTCATGTTCTCATCTGCTAGAAAAGGAAATTGTTTTTTCCTGCCGGGTGTGAAGATGAGACAAGAGGAGGCTTGTGAATGTGCCTCAGGAACTGCAGGGGTCTCCTTATCTCTCCAGTCAAATTTGGGCTTCCACCCTTCACATCCGGAAACACCTCTGTCCTGGCACACGCGTGCACACACACACACACACACACACACACACACACTAGGTTGTTCTGTTTGTGAGCCCCAGCTCAGATTTCCCACCTGCCTGGAACTTGTTCCCTCTTTCTGTATAATGTCTAAATCTAAAGGCTGAACATTCTTTAGATTTGGCTCCCCTAGGAAGCCTTCCCTGATACCTCCACTTATATAGACAGACATACACACACATGCATGCTAGGCTGCATTAGGTACCTACCCTGCTCCCAGAGGCTCCTGGGCTTCCCTCCATCATCACTCTTCTGACTCTGAGTCGTAATTACTTGTCTTCCTCCCCCACTGAATTGTGCGCTCATTCATTGAGGGCCCACCATGAGCTTGCTGTTGAGGCCACCATGCTGAAGCTGTCAAACTCAGGCCATGACCCCAGGAGCACCCAGTGAGCTCCTCAATTAGAGAGGGCCTTTTACATTTGTCGCCATGTTCCCAGCTCATGGGGCAGGGCCTGGTGCTAAAACGGGTGTGCAGAAAACGTTTAGTCGGAGTTGGCTCTCCTTTGCCCAGACTGGACTTCACATTAGATGAGCAAACTGTAAGGTATCCACAGAGGGGAGTGTGGACCGTGAGGTCTGTGGAAGGGCTTGTTCTGGCCCTGGCGTCCTCTTGACCCTGTGTAATGAGAGAGAAGAGCAGGGACAAGATGGCCTCTGCAAGGGGAAACTGGGTTGCAGGCCACCTCTCATGTGAACATTTGGGTGGTGATCTCCCCTCACTGAGCCTCAGTTTCTCCTTTGGTTGTGTGAGCCAAAAATACTTCCCATCACAGGTCAGCCTGAAGATGGAGTGAGGCACAGTGTCGTGTACTGGGGGCTGGCATCCAATACACAGTAGGCACTCACTTCGCAGGGTGTGCTCGATATACAGATGGTAGGGTCATCACCGTAATCTGTCATCAGCAGCATCACCATCATCGTTACCATTATCATCACCATCATCATTATCACCATCATCACCATCACCATCATCATTATCCACCATCATCATCACCATCACCACCATCACCATCATTATCATCACCATCACCACCATCATCATCATCATCATCACCATCACCATTATTATCATCACCATCATCATTATCACCATCATCACCATCACCATCATCATTATCATCCACCATCATCATCACCATCACCACCATCATCATCATCATCATCACCATCACCATCATTATCATCATCATATCAATCATTATCATCATCACCATCACCATCATCATTATCACCATCATCACCATCACCATCATCACCACCACCATCACCATCATCACCACCATCATCATCATCAATATCATCACCATCATCATCATATCAATCATTATCATCATCACCATCACCATCATCATTATCACCATCATCACCATCACCATCACCACCACCACCATCATCATCATCATCAATATCATCACCATCATCATCACCGTCACCATCATTATCATCACCATCACCATCATCATCATCCCCCATCATCATCACCATCACCATCATCACCACCACCATCATCATCATCAATATCATCACCATCACCATCACCACCACCACCATCATCATCATCATCAATATCACCATCATCATCACCGTCACCATCATTATCATCACCATCATCATCATATCAATCATTATCATCATCACCATCACCATCATCACCACCACCATCACCATCATCACCACCACCATCATCATCATCATCAATATCATCACCATCATCATCACCGTCACCATCATTATCATCACCATCATCATCATCCCCCATCATCATCACCATCACCATCATCACCACCACCATCATCATCATCATCAATATCATCACCATCATCATCATATCAATCATTATCATCATCACCATCACCATCACCATTATCACCACCATCATCATCACCATCATATCATTATCATCACCATCATCATCATCACATCAATCATTATCATCACCATCATCATCATCACATCAATCATTATCATCACCACCACCATCATCATCATCATCATCAATATCATCACCATCACCATCATCATCATCATCTGTTCTCACTAGTTGTCAGAGTGGTTTCAGGCTCAAATGAGACTATGAATGGCGAAGACCTTTGAAAATCCCTGAGTGCTGCGTACCTGGGAGGTGATAGTTAAGGTGCAACGTAAGGTAGTCCTTACTCTCCAGGAGCTTGTGGTCTGGTGTGGCTGCATGAGCTGGAAATTCCTGATAACAGATTTAAGGTAGTATGGGTCATGAATCAGTGCCTGTTGAGTTGCTGTGTTAACAGTATGAGAACAATGGTTAGGAACCAAGAGGAGGACACCTTTTGATTACGGGCTCCCTAAACTCTCTTGAGTGAGTGCTGGCATGGATCCTGGAAACCTGTGTGGACCCCGTCCTGCTAGCACTTGGGTTTTCTCATCCCTGGGGACCCATTGCAATCATCAATTTGAATCGAGGGAGCCTGCCGGAGTGCTCACATGTATACCTCCCGTCCCCAACACATAAACACCAAGAAGCATCAGATCCCTGCTGGTTTCCCTGGGAGAACTATGCAGAGACATCCAGGGGCTTTGAAATCTGAAGGGGTACCGTGTGCCATGGTGGCCCAAGGGAGCTGGGAGACCGTCCAGAGGTTCACCTCCTTGGTTTACAGATGGGAAAACGGAGGCCTCAGGGGGCAGGGTCTTTCCTGAGTAGGAACTAGAGCCCAGGTTTCTCCACACTGTGTTTCTGCAGGTGGTCATTCCTGTCTGTGGCTTTCTGTTCTGAGAAGAGAGTGTGAACAGTCTCTGTTAAGGTCAGCATTGGGGTTAAAGCATTGACTTTGGGGCCAGACTGCTTGGGTTCAAATCCTGCATAGCCTGGGCATATTATTTAACCTCCGTTTGAT